AGAGCTGAGATATGGCGTCGAGCACCCCGTTTCCTATACTACAATAATAATCACTATAAACTCTCCTTCAATGATGTCTACATGTGGTGTATCCACGAAGATAAAATCCGAAGTGCACTCGACCAAGCACACTCTAGAGTTTGTGGTGTTCATCAATCAAGAGCTAAGCTCCATGATTGCCTTAAGCGGATGGGCTTCTATTGGACAACAATGGCACAAGACTCAATGGAAGACGCCAAAAGATGTCAGGCATGTCAATTCCATGGGAATTTTATTTGCCAACCACTAGAACCTCTACATCCTACAGTTGCATCATGGCCATTTGATGCATGGGGACTTGATGTGGTTGGTCCTTTGCCTAAGTCTTCTCGCCAACACCTCTTCATCCTTACAACAATGGATTATATTTTCAAATGGGTTGAATCTATTTCTCTTCAAGTAAAGAAAGAAGATATTGTCAACTTCCTCTGGACTCACATTATCTACTACTACGGTGTTCGACATTACACAATCACAGATAACGAGAAGTCATTCTCAACAACATTGGTGACACAATTTTGTGACAAGTTTGGCATTAAGCAGAGGTTTTCAACCATGTACAATGCAGCAACTAATGGACTTGCAGAGGCCTTTAACAAAACTCTCTATAAATTATTTAAGAGGATTGTGTCTAAGTCCAAGAGAAATTGGCATGAACGTTTGGATGAGGCCTTATGGGCAAATCGGATGTCGTACCGCACTACTACAAATAAAACTCCTTTTGCTTTAGTATATGGTGTATAAGTTATACTCCCTCTAGAGAGACAAATGAACTCCCTAAGGATAGCTATCCAAGAGGGGATTACAGAAGATGAGAATGAAGCTCTAGATGTGAAGAGGTTAAAAGCTCAACAAAGAATAGAGCGCTACCAAGCTTGTTTGGCTCGTGCTTTCAACAAGAAGGTTCATCTTCGCTCCTTTCAGAAATGAGATCTTGTCCTTGCTGTTCGATGACCTATTGTTCTCTTACACCATTCAGGGAGGAAATTTGACCCTAAATAGAATGGGCCTCATAAGGTCTTTTGCATTGTAACGCTCCTGGTCCGCATGAGCCTAAATTGTGAATGGTAAAAACAAAAAAAAAAAATGTCTTTTTGCATTGTAATGCTCCTAGCCACATGAGCCTAAACTATGAACGGCAAAACAAAAGTCAAATATGAGAATTTCTCTCTTAAAAGAAAATGAAGGAAACATCAAGTTCATTTCCAACATCATGTAACTATAATGTAGAGGTTGTTTCATTTACAAGAGAAAGACCACTTCTTGGAATTTTACATAATTAAATATACTTCTACAAAGAGCATTGGATGCTTCTACAAGTTGTGTTGTCACGTAACATTGACTTGCACCTCTTGCTTGTTGGTTGCCTTCAATTATTTTAACTCGACATGCTAAGCTTTTCCACTACAAGTGATTCACTATCTTTCTACTACTTCTTGCTAGAGTATTGTCTTTGAAGATTAAGGAAACTTGTTGCTCTACTTGCTTTTATTACTCTTCTATTCCATGTCATTCCTCCTTAAAGGTATAAGACATTATATCAATGCGGGGTTTTTTGTTGTCAGCAGAAGTCATGTCAACTGTGATTTGAATCCTTTGGTTGCTAGAAAATGACTTATTCAATTCATATGCATCACCTCAATAACTAGATCTGCCAATTTTTGCCTCCTTTTATTTCTTAGTTGGAGCATGTTTAACTCTATCTTTGTAAGAAAGGTACTATTCTCCACATAATGACGAGGAACCAACCTCTTGGACAAATGACAACATGTCAAGATGGTAGACCTCTTCAAGAACCTTGTCGCTATGGGCAGTTTGGTCATAGACATCCACTCATGTGTGTAGAAATCTTTGCAACAAGCTTCCTTAAAGAAGTCAAGAGCAATCTTATCCCTTTCATTTAAATGAGTGATCATTTTGTATGATCTCCCAGAAGACCAACAGACTCTTAAAAGAAATAGAAGGCTCTAGCATTGCATGATCCATGACAGCTCCTTTTGGTTGGAGAGGTTCAAAGAGCTCCTTCTACTTAGCTCTGTATTAACAACGAGGACTTGTCAAAAAGTTCTTCAAAAATAAGCACTAGTTTGTCGAGCATTCTACAAGGAAAGCAGAGAGATCATCCATTCGAAGTTAAGTCTCCAAGGTTTGTTAACCTTCCACCTTAAGGCAATTTCTTCTTTGATGGAGAAGGTATAGAAGATGACAACAAAATCAAAGAGAAGAAAGCTTTGTGCATCAAGCCCTTTAGGGAAGAAGTTCTATGCAAGCTAATCCCTAAATCCAAGGGACCTCGGACCAAAAAATCTACAAAGCTCTAGACCTAGGGGCTTCAGACCATTGAAGGTCTGCGAGGGCCTATTGTTGATGAAGCTCCGCATAGTGTCTCTCTGGTGAAGAAACTTTATACAAGCTAATCCCTAAATCCAAGAGACCTTAGACATGAAAGTCTACGAAGCTTTGGACCTAGGGACCCCAGACCAATGAAGGTCTGCGAGGGCCTGCTATTGATGAATCTCCGCATGGTGTGATTCTCTAGTGAAGAAGCTCTATGCAAGTTAATCCCTAAATGCAAGAGATCTTGGACCTGAAAGTCTACGAAGCTCTGGACCTAGGGACCTCGGACCATTGAAGGTCTACGAGGGCTTGCTACTGATGAAGCTCTGCATGATATGAATCTCTGGCGAAGAAGTTCTATGCAAGCTAATCCTTAAATCCAAGAGGCCTTGGACCTGAAAGTCTATGAAGCTCTAGACTTAGGGACCCTGGACCATATTTCTTCACTTCAGGCTTTGCGCTTGATCGGTTGTGAAGTATGCTTCCCTAAGAAGGGCCCTTTTGTGGTGGCTTGATCTTCTTGGGAGAACTTGAATCCAAGTGTATTGTAGAGAACGAATAAGCTTTTCCCTTCTTTCTTCTCTCTTGATCTTGTAGTTGTTGGAGTTTGCAGGAGTTTGTGGTTTGCAATTTTCAGTGTTGGTGTCTGAGAGATTCTTGCAGTGTGATTCTCCAAAAGGAAGGAATCCTCTTTCTTCCTAGGCAAAGTTATTTATAGCCGAGGATTAAGGTTGCCACCTCAGCCCACTTAGCTAACCAATCCATGTGAGTGGGGTGTTGGGTTAGGGTTAACTCCCACGCATGCACCATTATGTAGGAGTTAGTGGTCTTGCCAATAGGACCACCCTATTACAATAGGATATGGGCCAAATTGGACTTAAAACACTTGGATCCTTAGGCCACCAAGACATATTTATGTAGACTTGGGCCTTGAGCCCATAGAGGCCCATATTAATTACGAGGTTGTCACATATCGATTGCGGAGCTATGATTGCAGTTAACATTGGCTTCGGTTGTTATTGGAAGCAATTCATTAGTGATCCAGTCCGAATCAATATTGTGATGTACTCTATCTAGTTTGGCCCAATCCAATAACCATAAGGGATCATCCAAAGCTAACCCATTGGCATCGGCATCCCCACAAATGACATATCCAACCGCCCTTGCCTTGCATGATGAATATCAACTACAACAGCGTGTTTTTTAAGGAGTTCACATCTGCACCCCATTAGGGGTCGCCCCACAACGTCCTACATACATCGCTGTTGTGTACTATGAGACGTTGTGAGGTGCAAATCGGAATTCTTTTCTAAGTAGTTGACTTACTTTCTTTACTCTACATTGAGTGCGACCCACATCTGCTGCAGCTCACTATACTGTGTATAAATCATTTTATAATCAATCATGAATGAATATGCGAATGTTTCATATACAAGAATATAGGGACTGTCTAATGCATACACAGTCAAAATTTTCTCATTAGGTCAGGTCAGGTTGATGCTTTATTTTATTCTTATCGTAGTTGGACAAAAGTGTCTAACCATCTTTCTCTCGAACCTTAAAGTCTAAACCCATAAATCCTAAAACACATTTGATTGGAGGCAACATGTCCTTCAATTCGACAGGAGGCAACATTTCATTTTAGTGGGGTTGGGGCAAGAAGGCAACCATGATGTACGAGAAGCCCACTGACATTAACATGAGACAAAGGCCACGCCTTTTCCATTTACATGGACTCAATTTCGTGCCTCTTCAAATTCCCAAAGGGCCAACTCACCACCTAAGCTACATGGTAATTGTAAAACAGCAACCCTGCACATTATTACTTCCACTCTCCCACCTTCAATTCAACAATTTCACATTTCTATTCTTTTTACTCTTGTTTATCTCACAAATGACTGTCAATGATACCTGAAAATTTGCCCTCAAATCTGATATCTAATCCAATTAGTTTGCATTGAGATGATGTATTTATGTTATCTGATATCTAATCCAATTAATTTTCATTTGATTAAAAAATTAAAATGAAGCCGGCCGGGTTAAATCCGAATCCAATCTGAATCCGTTAGAATTCGAATTCAATTCCAATATCTTCAAATATGATCCGATTTGGATGCAAATTTTTAATGAATCCGATCCGATTACAGGGCTAATGTGTGTATCGGCTTGTGTATGACATGTCCATTCTCTTTTAATTTTTCAAAAGAAAAAAAAAAAAAAAAATTGCTATCAACTGAATTAGGGGAGAGAAGCCAAAGTGAGTAGAACGGTGATTTTTTTAGGCAAACTGGCGAGTCAACTCGACCACCCTATCGGGTTTGTCTGGGCAAACTGATTCTTCTGTAATTACCCGTCAGCCTCCAGTTTGGCCCAGTTTCTCGAGTAGATTGGCTGAAGTAACCAACGAGTCAGTCAAAAACCGGCTCGATACCTAGCAAGTAATTAATAACCGGCCGATTCTACCAGGTATCGCATTGTTCCAGTCGGATCGTATCGCCCAATATCGGAGTTATAATTTCGATAATCTACTAATTTAAGTTCCAACCAACCAGTCAAAACTCAAAACCTGACGGGTTTTTCCCGATTTCGGGTTTGTCAAAACGAGGCAATCAAGGAAGAATGGATTGAACAGAGCCTCTTCAACAAGGAAAGGAAGCAGAACCGTGGACCCTATGACGAATGAATTAGTTCATCGCTAATTCAATTCTGAACATTTTCATTTCTCAGGCTTTGAATCCTGGAGTCCAGACTAATTAAAACAACAGAACAGAAGAAAGGGATGAGAAAGTGATAATCCAAACAATGGGAAATTGAATCTATGTAAACAGGAAATTCCAAATGTACTTCTATGTATGTCTACAAAATACAAGAATTTAATCACCATCATTCAGCAAGCCCAATCTGCTTGCAGAAAGAGACATGGACGGTTGTACTGACCTGAAGCCCAAACTAAAAACGACAGCTTCAAACAGTCGATGTCTCTCTCAATTAAGAAGAGCTCCCACATACACCCAGAGAAGGAGAGAGAGAGAGAGAGAGAGAGAGAGAGAGAGGCTTCTGCGTTAGAAACTAAAATTTTCTCTGTTATTGCTGTTGGGTGTCTTCCCAAGGCTGCTTAAGATCAGCGGTGACGAATGAAGTTAAATCGTCCCAGCTCCAGTAGCCCATCGAATCCATGAAACCACTTGTCACGGGTACCTGCCACGGCGGTGTCATGGGCAAGCTGGTGTTCGTCGTGGTAATGGTGGTGGTGGTGATGGTGGAGTCCTCGGCGGTTTCAGCTTCTCCGGTGTAACCACTATACACATTTGATGGTTGAAAGCCTCGGATAAAAGAGGAGGATATTGAAGAGGGGTTGTTGTCGAAGGAGCTTAAACTTGTATATGGAAAGCTGGGCGTAGGAGGCAAAGACAACGTTGAATCCAGTAAGCTGTTGCTGTTGATGTTGACGATGTCGCTGTCCTCGTTGTTGCTCACCTTGCTACTATAACCAGTCTGCGAAGACAGCAGTAGCGACGATGACGACGATGGTGGATGAAGAAGCGCCTGATAGAGGATATCAGAGATGCTTTTCGAATCACCAAGAGCAAGAGGAAGATGTCCTTCTTGCAGCTGCAACTTCTGCTGAGCTTGAATTGCTATATTATTATTAGTACTGCAACTTAGACGACCAGTGTTGGAGGTGGTGGTGGTGGTAGTGGCGGAGTTACTGGCGGTGGTGGTTGTAGGGGTGGTCTTCAGCCGCTTATTCTTGTGTCCACCACCAACGGGAACGTTACGGAGCGTACCTCCATTAGTCCAGTGTCTCTTACAGGCCTTGCAGAAATGACGCGGCTGCGACCGATTATAGTTGTTGTAGTAACAAAACTTGGTGTTGGTAGAACCGCACCTGGGGCACTTCAGCGGGGTCGGCTGCTGTTGCTGTGTCACCTCAGGAGGCTTCGGAAGATCCAGAGCTCCAGCCTGCAACAAGCTATGACCACCCCAATCCAGCTCCAACCCATCAACGGACACTTGCTTGGAACTCAAACCCATGGCTTAAGAAAACTAGACAGAAGACGAAGCGATAATCGAGTACTGTTCTCTCTTGTTTGATCTAAACAAACCAAACAAGCAACCAACCCTTTGATCGGAGTGCTAGAATATAGATCAATCTGAAGAAGAGAAAGGGAGACAAGAACAAGATTAATCTTGGGCGTAAGATGACCCTCGGAAGAGACCCAACAACGGTGCACAGCACAAGTGGATGATTGAACTAAACAGTTGGGATTCGGATGAGAAGAGAGCATGTCGGGAATCTCTAAATCCTAATCTATCTATCTATCTGTAAAGGGTTGTGGAACGGAGTGGGGAAGAAAGAAGATGACCCAAACCCAAACCCACTCGTATGGTCTATAAGAATTCTGTTTGAATAATATATTTGTGGGGTGAGGATGTACTCTGTGGATTAGGGGGTGAGCCTAGCTAGAAGATCCCAAATTATAGACCATGTTTTAAGTTTTTAACCAACCTCTCTCTCTCTCTCTCTCTCTCTCTCTCTCTCTGATTCCTCCCTCTCGCCTACAATTTTATAGTCAGACCGCAGAGTACACCAGGCCAGAGTTACTTAATCCTTAAGGACTTGAGGTGACGGTGGAGAAAATGGGGCAGGGGCCAGGGGGAACCAGGGCCTGACACGTGGATGTATGGCCCACAGAGCCCTCAGTGCCTCCCTTTCCATCCTCGGTGCTTTAGGCTTAGGGAAGGACGTATAATCTATTAAAAGTATATAATAATTAAATATAGTATTAACTCAAAGAATTAGGGTATGTATGAAAGCAACTCTGTTGAGCGTATGGATATATGATACTAAGGAACAGTCGAAGGTCGCATTCCGTTTTCTTTCTTTGCAGATTGTTAGTGCGCTACAACACAACGAGACAAGGACTGGGGCTCGACAGAGACCTTTGGAGAGAGAGAGAGAGTCGGTGGGGAGCCATCAGCGATGGATTGACTAGTGGGTAAGTGGTCTGTTGTCTCGACAGTGAGTGGGACCCTAGAGAGGAGTGGTGAGAGTTAATAGTTGTCATCACGTGATCCCTTGTATGATTGTATAATAATAAGTAGCTATTATCATTCTCAGCAGGTGATAATAGGTTCAAACTTAAGGAGAGAATTCTGCCGAGACTCAAATTTTTAGGCTTAAAGTTCAGTTGCGGTAGGTGAGTTTGGAATTGATGCTAATTTACGGATAGATATTAGTGTATAAAATGAAGTTTTTTGATATTTTAAATATTTATAGGTCTACAGTGAAATTAAGAAATATGCATCGAGTCTGCTCATACTTTTCCGAAACTTGAAAGTGGGAGAGGGGGAAGGTAAATAGAATTCTACGCATATCTACTCACAACACACCACCCCTTGAATTGAAAACATCTCCCCTGCATAATATTATGTAGGAGGATGAGATGTTCTCTATGTGTGGCTGTGATGTTATATAGGTAGATATGGGCAGAATTTGTGTGGACAGGAGATTCAGATTTGGGTAAATCACGGCATCTGATTGAATTGAAATTTAGCCACTTAGGTATGATCCGTATGGAGTATGGTATATTGGAACGTGGGTTTGGACCACGGTCCACAGTACTCTTCTCCGTAGGGAGTTCAGGTTCAGATCAGAGAGGATAAAAAGAATAATAATTTTTATTACTATGATTAAGGTTTTAACATTTAAAAGTAAATCTTCATTAATTTAAAAAAGGATTAGAGAGTATTGGTTGCTGCATAAGGCCAGAAGCTGTAAGCATAATGTGAGTGGGTGGATTTATGTATTTGAAGGTTGTGTGCATAGTTTCCACTACATAGAGTATACATACGTAGTTTGCATTAATAAATCATCTGCCATTCAAACACAAAATTACAGAATCCTTAGAGTTTGAATCTTTTAAAATATTGATAGGGAGGTTAAAGTGGCGTTGGATAAATCTGAAAGGTTAAAAAGATATTATTTGTGTCTAAAATCTAAAAAGAAGTATAAATACTTTTTTACTTTTTAGAGGTTTCGAATATATAAATTTATTTGGGTTGGATAAAGGGATTATAGCTGATAAGGGCAATTTTTGGGTCTTATTATCAATAAAAATAATTTTTTAACATAATTTTTAAAATAGGGTAACTTTTTTTAAAAAATATCAAAAAAAGGGGAGAAATACTATTCATCTTCTTCCTCCTCCAGCCTCCCTATATTCTCTCACACAAACTAATCGGACACTCTTCACTATTCTCTCTCTCTCTCTCTCTCTCCACATTCACCTCCAACAAGAATAGCAAGAAGAAGGGTTCCAACATATCTTCGATGCACATCCACTTCACAGGTATCGGCACCGGAGGCTATTTGGTCTTCAACAAATTGGCAAGAGAAGAATGTGAGGAAAAAGAAGTTGAGGAACACACTGAGGAAGAAAAGCCATCATGTCACGGAGACGTCTATGGGGAATCCAACTCCTGTTGTAGTTGTCCCTGATGTTTGGTGCTCTCCAAGGATCGGTTTCACAACCAATTCTACGTCAATTGATTGTGTTGTGTTGAGACATCCTATAGTGGGAAGAAGGAGGATTGATAGTGAGAGGATAAATCACATAGAGGTGTGCCTCCTGTTTATGTTATTCGTGGTTTTTGTTCATATATTGAGTTTTCTTTTGGGATTATAGTTGATAATGGCAACTTTTGGAAGCTTCACACAGAGATAGAAGACATGCACCTTCTTATGGATCTGGACAGTTTTCTCCACCTAAAGAACCAGCTTGCGATTAAAACTTTGACTGAATACAAAAGAGGGATAATAAGGGTTCAAAAAGCGGCGATGAAGCTCTTTCATGACCATCGAAATGAGGAAAAAGAGGAAAGAGAAAGATAGAGATTGGAGGTGGGGAGATTTGTTCGGTGGTCTGAAGGAGGAAGGAGATGAATAGTATTTCTACCCTTTTTTTGATATTTTTTAAAGAAAAAGTTACCCTATTCTAGAAATTATGTTAAAAATATTATTTTTATTGATAATAAGACCCAAAAGTTTCCCTTATCAGCTATAATCCCTTGGATAAACCTTCAAAATCTGAAATTCCCTAACTTTACTATTCTACCCCTAGAACATACTATTTGATAAAAATTGTAAAAAAATTAAAGTGCCATGTTAATATTGAATGAAGTCAATGTTGATAGGCAAAACAAATAAATCTAGCAATGTTATTTAGGCAGGGAATGAAAATAATGAACAAGAAAGAAAAAAAATGAAAATAAAAAAAAAGGAAATAAGGGGAGAACAAAATTTACCTGGGTCGGGTTTAGCCTAACTGGAACGATGCAGCAAAGGAATTGCAAACAATTTCTACTTCAGATTATTTGTCTTCAATTGATGATAGCTTCTGTGGATTGCAATCGAGGGATTGGTGGAAGCAGAGTGGGCTTCTAGATGGGAGTTGCTTCGACTGATTTAAGGATGCAACCTTGGACGCTCACCGCTGCTATTGTATGTTGAGAGCTCTATTCACTGCTGCTGTCCAGATGAAGAAGACGAACGGCTCGTTGGGGGAGCGTGGGAAAGAATGAGCAAAAAACAAAACAAATAAAGTGACTGGACACTGGAGGAGAGAGAGAGAAGAGAGATTGGAGAAGAAGAAGAAGCTCACCGCTGGAGAGGAGAAAATAGATTGCCGCTGTTGAGAGTTGCAGAGGCGGAAGCCACGGGACCAGAGAGGAGGAGGAGGGAGAAGAAGAACAAGAATGGTGAACCAGATGATGAACGGTGCCCACCGGAGGAGGAAGCTCACCGCCACTAGTTTGCCGCTGTGTCAAGTGGAGAAGATGAACAGTGCTCGAGAAACACATGTTTGGTTTAGATCGTTTTAAGGGTATTTTAGACTTTCGGCCAGGTCTGAGACGCATCTACAGCATTCAAGGCCTGGCCTATGTCTTATTAGTTCAAATCTAAAAATTCATTTCAGATGCACTTCCAATCAGCTTTGACGTCTGAAAAGTAACATTTTCAAATTTCAGACATCTAAAAAATGTTATCAAACACCATCTAAATTGCTCAGTAGATAAATTGACCACAATCTTCATGTTTATTTGTTGTTATATTAGATGCAAGAGTAATTGAAGATATTGGAGAGTGGATAAACAATTTACCCGTGCATGCAAATGAGAGTAATATATAAGGTACTATGTGTATATATTGAAATTAATGCTTGAATTGGACTTGGATCAGTATGAATCAAATGCAAATGTCATATACGGACTTTCTGCTTTTAAATTTGGTTAATAAAAACCCATGCATATGCATCGCACATGAGGCCCTACTAGTATATGGAGTTGTGTTAGCTTAACTAATAGTTGAAATTAGAGTCAACTTAACTTCAAAACTCAGTGCAGATGATGTTGACCCGTAAATTGAAACCACCCAGCTGGTGGGTTGGTGATAGATCGATCTGCAGGCTGGATTAGTAGTAAGCATTAAGGCTGTGTTTGGAATCAGTGAAAAATGTCATCAGTATATTTTATATCTATATCAATGAAATTTTACACTGAATAGTCATAATTGGTGTAAAGTTTGATATTGATTTTATCGATGTAATATTTACATCGATAATCAATGTAAAACTTTACATTTATATGATGAGGTTTAACATTGATTTATAACATAAAACTTCACTCCATCTAAATATATATAAAACTAAACCAAAATAAAATTTTACATCAATCAATACTATATACTTTTTCTAAATGCAAATAAAACCGAACCAATATAAATATTTATATCGTTCTTAATTTATACCGATTCCAAACACAACCTAATTGAATAAAGGGGTTAATTTGTATTTGTATAGAAAGCCAGCCAACCAGGCATGTTAAGAGTTTATTTAGAAGAGCCAGGCAGATAAGAGAGTAGGTGGTTTTCAATACGTGTGCACATATAAATATTATTGAATCTATCCTTATTCCTTGGCCGACAATGGTTGGGGTCCAGCGACGCAGTCACATGCTTGTGGGGTGAAGAAGACGCCCATTAATTACTACACTTGTTAGAAGTTAGAGCCCACATACATTTGCTGTCTAATTCTTGTACTCATACTCACAGATGCATGGGCAGTTAAGTTTATATTAAGTAGCATATATTATTTAGATGGTTATGTAGCGGGAATAACAACGGAGTGAGTTCAAGGCAAGAATTATATTTACCGTCATTGATTCCGATTTCGAAATAAATCTGTTCCTGACCTCGGTTTTCAATGGGATAAAAATGACTTTATCCTCAATCTCCGATGGAGATGGCTTTTTCACTGAGATCCCAGTTTATGAAATTTTTAAATTAAAAATATTTAAAAATAATAATTTTTTTTAAATATATTCTAATATATAATATAAATAATATTATATAATATATTTGATATATATATATATATATATATATATATAATAGGGTTGGACCTGGACGGGAAATTCACTCTCCATTCCAGTTGTCTCCCATCACAATCTCCTTCCCAGACCTGGTGGGATCAGAGAAGCCGGGGTCGGGGAATCAGACAGGGACTAAAAAATTGTCACCCTATTAACCCATAAGATAAACGGGAGGTGGGGTGTGCTACAATTGATCGGTTAGGTGAACGTGAAAAGAACTGCTCCTCACATATGGCACCTCACATCGACTTCACAGG